ACTGGGGAGGGAGCGGTGGCGCAAGCAATAACAACGCTTGCATGTAACAACAGAACAGCCCCAGTGACTGTTCGAGACCCACCGCGGCCGGGGTGAGCTCCCAGCCCCCAGTCCTAGCTCCCGCCCACCCAGCGGTTCGGCAGTAAAACATATAAAGCCGATAAATGGGTACCTACCCTTAGAAGGGTAGGGGGCACCCTCCTCTGTGTGGGGACGTGGTGGAGTTCGGCAACGGCGATGACGGCGGCAGGCGATGGTACCAGCAATGGCGGCGGCGGCAGCGGTGACGGCGAGGGCGGAACAACAGTATGGCAATACGATGCGGCGATCCCTGGTGGCCGATGGGAACAACAGCACCCAGTACCTGGTGCCCGATGACGGAGAAAGTGGAGCGACAGAGAAGCGCACGGCAGCACAAGCGGCGCAGGCGCAGCGGAGCGACTATGAGCAGAGCTGAGCCGGGACTGCTGTGGGCCGCGCGCCGGAAGATCCACGCCGGGAAGGAACCGACCGCAGATGCACGCTAATTCAGTGAACTGCTGGAGAGCCGCGAGCAGCGAACCCACCCGGGTGCTGGTAGGAAGAAACCCCACCCCTGAAAAAATGTGGCCATAGAATTAGGAATACCTGCACTTGCAACACAATTGTAAACCGCTCTGAGACCTTCGGGTCTGAGCGGTATAGAAGTCGAAATTAATAAATAAATAATAAATAAATACTGACTTTTGCACTCTCTCGTTGACTATAAAAGCCACACCATTTTTTTTACGAGATTCCTGGCCACAGTAGTAGATATAATGGTCTTCTGAGTTAAATTCACCCATTCCTGTCCACTAGTTCACTGATTCCTAAGATATCGATGTTCAGTCTTGCCATCTCATTTTTGACCACGTCAAGCTTACCTTGATTCATAGATCTTACATTCCAGGTTCCTATGCAGTATTGTTCTTTGCAGCATCAGACTTTCCTTTCACCATCAGACACATCCACAACTGAGCTTCCTTTCGGCTTTGGCCCAGCCGCTTCACTCTTTCTGGGGTTACTTGTACTTGCCCTCTGCTCTTCCCCAGTAGCATATTGGACACCTTCCGACCTGAGGGGCTCATCTTCTGGCGTCATATCTTTTAGCCTTTTGATACTGTCCGTGGGGTTTTCTTGGCAAAAATACTGGAGTGGGTTGCCATTTCCTTCTCCAGTGGATCACGCTTGGTCTGAGTTCTCTGCTGTAGCCTGTCCATCTTGGGTGGCCCTCCACGGCATAGCCCACAGCCTCATTGAACCACACAAGCCCCCTTGCCACGACAAGGCAGTGATCCATGAGGGGGTCTTATTGTGTAATAAGTAAGGTCTTATTGTGACATAAAATAAAAGTGGAAGACAGACAGAATTTGACACAGTTCATTTGCTGAATAGATTGCACAACAAAAGATTGTGTCTTTTGATCTGGGGAAGCTAGGCAGACTGATGACTGATGACATGTTTTTTTATGATTGATGGCATGTTATTCAAGTATGCAGCCTGGGAATATTATTTGATTCACTGTTTCTCAAATGCTATTGTTCATCTTAACATAGGAGTAGATGATCTTTATGAAGGTCAAATACTATGATGCATGCTATGTGCAGTTGTTCTTGAAAAACACTCAGATGTTTCTTCTGGTGCAGAATGTGATGACCCATTTCTCACGGACGGAGATGGTTGTATCCAGCCAATATTGAAACCACAGCACTGGCTACTGTTTACATTTTTTTATTTGGTTGCAGTTAGTTGTGAGTGTGTGTCATATCTGTTTCTTGTGTGAGCTCTGCCCCCTTCCTTTGCTGTTTGTTTATTTAATATTTATTATTTAATGGAAGTAACTCACTCATGGATGATCACCACAGCTGTCAAGGGGTGTAAGTAGCTTAGTAAGAACAATAACATCTGGCTTAGCCACAGGGAGGCCAGTGAAAAATGCCAGGGTATTGTGTAGAAATTAGAGCTTCAGAAAAGAAGAAACGGTGTCCTTACTTGGTGGGATGAACCAATGGTTTTTGGCATCAAGGCCATAAGAGCTAGCAGAGATGAGAGGTGGAGGAGGAAAGTACCATCAAGTCACAGCTGATTTATGGTGGCCCCATAGGGTTTTCAAGGCAAGAGCCATTCAGAGGTGGTTTGCCATTGCCTGCCTCCACATCACAATTCTGGTATTCCTTGGAAGTCTCCCATCCAAATACTTGCCAGGGCTGACCTTGCTTAGCTTCCAAGATCTGGCAAGATCAGACTAGCCTGGGCTATCCAGGTCTGAGCATGGACAAGGTGGTAGGGGGGAAAGGGGACCTAGAGATCTAAAGCCTTAAATGATCTGGGTCCTACATACCTCCATAGTTAATTGGTCCCATAAGGCAACCTCCTGCAGAGAAACATCTGTCTCAGTTTCCTTCAGCCTCAGCTGGATTGATGATGGGATTTTTGACAGTCCCTTTTTTACAGATCTTAAGGGAGTGAGGGGCGAACTGTTACATATGGGAAGAGAAGAATCCCTGATATCATTCAGAGAGGAAGTAATGAATTTTGTGTGGCCAAGAAGCAAAATACAAAGGGAAGTGAGATTATGTTTGGGGCATTTGGGGCAAGAAAACCTGGGAAGATCCTGCTAGCTTGCCAGCAGCAGCTGAATAACTTCTGGACTGAGTTCGTTTTCCCCTCTGCTTGCAAGCAGTGTTCCCTCTAAGCTGAGTTAGTGTGAGCTAGCTCACAGTTTGTTAGCCTCCAGCTCACACATTTTTGCCTTCGCTCAGAAAGGACAGCTCCAGAGCAAACTACTTTATGCAGCAGCCAAATCGCTCGCTCACAACTTTATTGCCAGTAGCTCATGAAGTAGAATTTTTCCTCACAAGACTCCACAGCTTAGAGGGAACATTGCTTGCAAGTATTGAGCCTGGGGTTTCCCAGAGGCACGTGCCAAAGGAAAAGAGGCAAAGTTCAAATCACTCCTGTTCTGCAGCCACTCCATTGCTTACCTGTACATTACCAGGTTCAGCTCAGCATTCTGGTTATCACCTAAAAAGCCCTTAATTGCCTTGGACCCACATACCTGTAGGGCTGCCTCTCCTGCTATGCTCCAGTGCTAGAGATGTAAAATTTCCGGAAATTTTGAAGCTCAGAAGAAAGCCCGTTTTTTTCCTGTTTTTTTTCGGGGGGAAACTGAAATATTCGGAAAAATTGAAAAAAATGCTACATTAGCTTTTTTTTTGTCTTTTCTAGATTGAAAGTCATTCTGTTACTTTAGGAACATAAAATATGACTATGGACATTTTTACTTGGCATGAAATATCACAACTAGCATATTAAAATATAGTGTATCCAAACAATTATTACAAACAGAATACCCAACCACATGCAAAAACAAAACTGAAACTTTTTTACTTTCTTCTGACAATCGCACCTCCTAAAGGAAGAAATGCATCTTGTTCTTGCATTGGAGAGTTCAGTTTGTAACCTAGGACTTGCTTGTCCTCAGTGCACAGAAATTAGATCAATCAGGTACTATATATATATATTTTAGAAATGATTTGGAAAATATTTGAACACCTTGTCTTAAAGTATTTTATTCATCATGTTAAATTAAATTAAAACGTTCCATAATCAATTTCTTTTCTTTTTTCAATTTTTCCAATTTTTCGGGAAATAACAAAAAAAGGCTTCAGGAAAAAAACGGGAAAAAATGGGTTTTTCCCCTAATTTTTCCGTTTTTTTTCCGGGCCTTCACATCTCTATCCAGTGCTACCACTTTGTCTGAGCAAATCCTTCCTCTATTGTTCTAGCACCTGAAGGTGTGCTTGGCCGCATGGCCTCGCTAGTGCTGATGTGGTTAACGTGGTATATAACACCAACAATTTCCTTTTTGTTTCATGAAAGCTTCAACCATACACACTTCAGTGCATGTGCCCACTTCCCCCCCCCCAGCAGCCTTCTAACTGCCCTCACTCACACCAGTTGCTCACAGGCTGGATCTGGCCCCCAGGCCATAAATTTGACACCCCTGATTGTACCTGAACACTGAATAGATCTGGTATTACAAGAAAATATGAACATAACCAGAAAAATAAATTTCAGATATCGCATATCACACTTTTTCTAGCTCAAAGTATAGCAATAACACACATTTAAATCTAAATTTAGTTTTTGCTGACAGTAGTCATAACAGGTTGTCATTCTACCAGGGAACAAAGTTTCTGTTGTCCGTTGCCTCTCAGGCAGCCAACCTTACTTAGCTACAGTATTTTAGGAGTCCACCAGACCTTATGAACCCCAATTTTTTTATATTCAAATCATTGCAATTAACGTTTTAGCTGCCAATACATGATACGAAACCATATTCAAATGTTGCTTTTTATAATAATCAGACACAAGCCCCAAGAGAATAGCCTTTTTTGGGGGGGGGATTGGAGAAGTTGAAGTTTTATGTATAAAGCTGAAATTTTCTTTCCCCCAAATTTTCCTGTGACCCATCTGGGATGTCATAGTGAATAGAGCCAGTCTTAACATTTCTAGAAATACCAAAATCTCTGACGTTTTTGGGTCAGCTGTTTTGTTCCTTTGTAATTATAGTAGTAGTACAGGGGAGCACTAGTAGTACGGCTTGGAGCACTAGGGTACAGAGTTTTGAACTATTAAATGCCTTTTCTTCCTCTTTGTTCCTGGCTATAGTAAAAGATAATGTTGACTTTCTGCATTGCATTTTCCTCTTTACCTGGTATTCCCGAGTGAATCTTGTTTTTCTACATTGATTAAAGCTATATATGGATTACTGTGACTCATCCTATGAAATTACTTTATGTGCAAGTTCATATGTCAGGATTATAGTTTGAGTTTTGGTACTTTTTATTGCCTTAAGATTGTATAGAGTAAAATAGTTTTAATTCTGTGATATGGGGTGCATTTTAAACATGTTATTTCAAATATTAGCAAATGTCAAAGAATATATTGAATCTGTTACTGTTGCTTTGTTTTTTTAGGGTAGAAAATTGCCACGGTATCTCAGGGAAATGGTGACGTGCATGGTTTCCCCCTCCCACCAGTAACAGCTGAAAACAATGGACAGATGATATCAATTAAACTGCTTTTGGCAGCTGACTTTATTACAGTAACAAGTACTACGTAAGCAGAGCCGAACTACAAGGATTTTTATTACCTTCGCCACTGGGAGTTATGTACGGTGTCTCAGCTCTCAGCGTGGATGCAATTTCTATGTAGATCACTCTAGGTTCTGTAATCATGTCTGTTAGTGTGACAGAGAGTGACATTCCTACATTTTTTGTGGGTGGCGAAGAAGGAGAGGAGCTTTTGGATCAAGCCAGATCTTCAAGATTTCATTCCTTCTATGATCATATTGAAGATGAAGATGAGTATGATTCTGTACGTATTATATTTGATAATTTGGGATAAATGATTCCATGAGTTCAAAGATACCAAAATGTTGTTAATGGAGAAGATAGTGTATGATCATTAGAGCCACTAAACACTGTGGCTCCATTTCAGCAAAGTATCTAAAGACATGTTTGAATGTAAATCATCACATTGGCATTGTTAAATTGGATCAAGACCTGACAGTTTGTATAATGCACAGAATCACAGTTGTTTTGTGCTTAACAAGTTATCAATACTGCACTTACAGAGACATGAATCTCCCCAAAAATTATGTCTACATTATTGGGGTTGGGAGGGCTTTATAAAAACATTTTTATAGTGGGTTTCATATCCTGTTGTGAAATTGTCATTTAAATTACAAAAGTTCTAATACAAAATCCTAGTTTCAGCTCTCATTGAATCAAGGTATTTCCTCATACTGTATATAAAATAGTGAAAGTCATTCGTCTTTAAAAATTAAATGTTTTTCTCCAGCAGTTTAAAAGTACAATCCTATGCAGAGTTATCCCAGTCTGAAGCAATTTATTTTAGTCTGGTTACTATTTCATTTTTATTTATGTTTTAATCTGTTTTTATTTCAGTTAGTTTAGATGAACAGTTTTCTCTGTGTAGGATTGCACTGTAAAGATAGTTACTTGAAGCAGCAGAATATCTATCTTATTCTGAGCATAAGTCATGTAGGATGCAGTTCAGCTGGTATTACTGTCATGCAGCGCTGTCAGCAGCCGCTCTGTGTACTCTTAACAATGCCATTGATATAAATGGAGACTAAAAAGTAATCACTTGTGGATTGTGCCTTCAGTCTCTGAAGTATTGTAAACCTAATGCATACTAAAAAGTGCTTTATACTGAGTGGCTGGCCTTAAATTTATATGTTCTAACGTTGTTTGTAAGAAGATTTAACTGGAACATAGCTAATTATTTTGTATATTTTCATTTTTAAAAATACCCTCAACAAGTGCTTACTTCCCTTTAAATTGCCTGTATTGGCATCATTCCCATAGTCCTACAATTTAGTTAAATTGTTTTTCTTCGTATGAGACTATTAAAATGGTTTGATTTTCTTGATATTTAAATTTTTTTAGATTAAATGTTGCATTGAAAATGGGTCACTGATCCCAGACTGCATTCCTCATCTTTTTAGCATGATAAAAATACTAGACAATGTATGAAAGCTACATGGTATATTAAACTTGGTAATAATATAACATTATTTTGTTTGCTCTATATGCACATGAAAAATATTGAAAAGAATCATCTTATTGTTGTTGATTTTGTTTTTATTATGACTAGCCACCAGAAAGACAGATTGTGGTTGGAATATGTTCAATGGCAAAGAAATCCAACTCGAAACCAATGAAAGAAATACTTGAACGCCTTTCCATGTTTAAATATATTACAGTAGTAATATTTGAAGAGGATGTGATTTTGAATGAGCTCGTGGAAAACTGGCCTTTGTGTGATTGTCTGATTTCTTTTCATTCTAAAGGTGATTGCTCTTTATACTTCCTCTCTTAGTTCCAGAAAAGCTACTAATGCAGCAGCGAACTGACACAAAAGATTAAGCCATTTATTTACGTTTCATTATATATTTATGTATGGTAATTGGTTAAACAGTAAATTTGATGAACAAATGATTTGTTTGACACAGATAATATAATTTTTCAGTGCTGGAATGATGGATAAAGGTTATGGGTGAAGTTTTCCAAAGGTAAACTTTGGATGTTGCAATTTATTCTACGTTTAACTCTAAAAGTATTGTTGTGTTGTGCATTGCAAATGAATAGACTGTATTTCTCTGAAAACTGGACACTATTTATAGAAGACAAGATTAAGGATAACGATAAAAACATATCCTAGCACTGATCAAATCTGGTTCAAGTACTAATTGATCAAATCTGGAAGTACTTCCTCCACAACCAGAATTTACTTTAATATAGTAAATATGAATGTAATATTATTTAATACATTTTGTTTAGGGTTTCCATTGGACAAAGCTGTTGCCTATGCAAAACTCAGGAATCCATTTGTTATTAACGATTTGAATATGCAGTATCGCATACAAGACAGGTAAGTAGATATTCATAAATCGCTGATCAAGTATAAATAACTGCATTTCTATTTTCCTTCTCTTAAAAAACCTTGCCCCCCCAAAATGTCACCAGTCTAATATAGGGGTTAAATACACCCCATAGGAACTCATAGTAGTAAAAAAACCCATAGGTTTTGCATTGAGTATGTCACTAGCTGCCAAGAAAAAAACAACAACCCTTTACTAAATATTTCCTTTGGGCTATATAGGAATACAACAGCAATTTAAAAAAAAACGGGGAAAAAAGAATAAGGAAACATAGTATTTTATCAGTTACTCTGTATGGGGTTTTGTTGTTGTTTTTTCTATATGTGTAACATTGACCTTAACGTATATACTGCAATTTCTAAAAACTGTACTGAAAGCTTGAGGAGAGAGCATGAAACACTACATAACAGTTGACTATTAAGGCTGAAGAATGCATAAGCTACGCAAGACATAAATGTTTCCAGGACCATTTTGGTCAGCTGACATGAAGCTGCCCTATACTGAATCAGACTAATAGTCTATCAAGGTTTGTATTGCCTGCACTGACTGATAGTGGCTCATGGGGGTCTCTGGTAGAGGTCTTTCACTTCACTTGCTACCTGATATTTTTAACTGTAGATGCCAGTGATTGAATTTGGTGCCTTTTGCTCTGCCACTGAGCCAGTGCCCCTCCCAGTACAATTTCCTCCCCACAGAAAGATACTATAAGGGGTGGTATCATCCCACCACAGTCCAGAAAACTACCATGGTATATAGTATCAGGCATCACCCATTTCCCCATCAATTTACTCATGCAGATCATCTGTCAGGATGACCAAGGCAGGTTTCTGTGCCATGCCCAGAATAGAACTCAGATTGAAAACAATCAGTTTTCTCTATAAATACCTGGGGTAGTGGTTCTTTCAAGCATTAACAAATGGACATAGAGGAAATAGCATGCATCTTAAGCCACACTGATCAAGTGAAGCATTAAGTACATGAAAGACACAGCACACAGAATAGAATGCAGTTTGGTCTCCTTTCCAATAATGTGGTTGTACAAATTATCATCATGAAAACAGGAAGATGAAAAGCAATATCCTCCAAGTATAGATGGTGCATATTTTTCAGAATGAGGCAATCTGTAGACACAACATGGATTCTTAACATATATGTGTATTTTATTTATTTATTTAGAATATTTGCATGCCACATCTCCATACCTCCTCAAGGTAGCTCTCAATTAAAACAGTAAAAACAATCATATCCATAAGAACAAATGTTTTACAGTCATCCCAGAATAATAATATTTATTATTTATTTATTTTTGAGATTTTTATCCCGCCCTACCCAATGGCTCAGGGCGGCTAACAACAAGTTTAAAAATTTGGACAATAAAAACAATAGTACATATATAATAAAAACTGGTGCTTCAGAATCTACATATATTATACAAAATACATTATACAAAATACACGGCAACCCACATTTGCAGCCAAATGTTCTTGATACATCCTTCCCCTCTCTGTTGAAGACACTGTCTTCCTCTTAGATGTAATAGGTCATATTCCTGTATCCCAGCTTTGTATCAGGACTAAAGTACTATAAGTAAACTCCATGTTTAAAACGAATGTTCTCTTTTCTAACATTGAGACCTTAATGCAATGATGTCCTCCTTCTCTAAAACAGTTACAGTTAAATATAATGTTAAGTCCTTACTGCAGTGTGTATGACAAGTCTCCTCCTTAGCTAGTTTGTGCATTGTATGAAAAGTGCCCTAAATTGGTATTAATCTGAAATCCTTTAAATTGAAGGCACCAAGACTGAACTTGAGACCCTAACATTCAGAACCTCTACTGTACTACAGAGCTATGGTCACTTCCTAGTATATCATGATGTTTAAAAAATGCCATGATCTGAGAAATCAAAGTTTACCTTGGCCATCAACTGAGTGATGAGGTTCCACCTTTACCTTAGCCCCACTCTAAGGGTAACAACAACGTTCAGTTACTAAGTATAAATACTAAAATGAAAACACCTTTGAGCAGTTAAGAAAAATATGATACTGAGTGGTGGTGGTGCTGTTAGTAGTAGTAAAAATCTTTGATTACACAGTTATTGAAAGAATATGTATGGGGGAATACTGGGACTTCATAGAAGAGTTATTTCAATGTACATTTATTTGACAGTATTCATTGTATGGGAATTGTTTTTATATTTTAGGAGAGAAGTTTATAGCATCCTTAAAGCTGAAGGCATTTTACTTCCACGTTATGCAGTTCTAAACCGTGATCCAAACAACCCACAAGGTAACAGCTGTTGAAATGGACTTGTCTAAGGACTCTGATTTAACCATTGGCTGAATGCAGACATCAGACCTGTTTT